ACATTTCTCCAGGTGTTTTGGAGGGTGTGTGTGTGATCCTCTGCTTTGTAAACATAAATCATGCACAGCATTAAAACAGCACCCGGAACCCTACATTTGTTTTAAAACATCACCGACTCATCTGACTGAGACCTTTAGGAGGCTGGCTGTATGTCTTTGTGATCGTTAAGTAAAAATAGAGACCGTGTTATTGTCTGTGTTTGGTAAAATGTCTTACTCACTTAACATGCTTTATAAATAATAACATTAATAATAGTGCAGCTGAGTCACTAAATGTCTTCTCAGTTTTTTTCTCTCGACAAGTTCGAAGCCAGCCTTTCATTCTCGCCTCTTCCCACTCACCCTGGCTTTTCATGGCATTTTAATGAGTTATTTTCGTCTAAAGCATATTGTTGTGTTCTTCATATACACGTCTTATTTATATCTGCTTCTTAAGAATGATTTTATTATTTGCACTTTGGCAATTCGGAGGTATTAATATCACCACTCTGAGTCTCAGAGAGGTTAATTAACTTATCAGATGTCACCCTGTGAAGAAGTAGCAGAATGAGGGTTGGAACTTGAGTCTGTCTGGCTCTGAAGATGACTGTTCTCTTCTCTCTGGCACTTTTCTGCTCTAATGCTCTGGGACCTCAGACTCAAGAGTTTGAAGTCTGCTGTGTCTTGGCCAGCGCGACAGAGGCTGGGGGTCACAGGGGACGTCTGGGACAATGTGCACTCTGCTTTCCTGGGAGTATCAGTCATTGTTAATAAATGTGGCTGCAGGGCCGCTTGTCCACTGTGTCGGTGTGTTCTGGGAGCCCCATCACAGGCTGCACGCCTGGCATCAGCGGCGTCTGGTGCCCGCACGTGAGAAGGGTGGCCTTGGCCCCTTGTTAGGGCTCTGATCACACTCAGACGGGACAGATGTGTGTGTCTGTCTGGGTTTCTGACTCCCGAAGCCCAGCATCCAGATGGACCGGCGGGGGCTGCACTGACGCACACCATGACAGGTGGACGGATGGGGGGCCAGGCGTCCTGAGAGTCAGCGGACCTCTCTGGGAGGGCCTCCCAAGAAGGGACACCAGTCCCTGGGCTGAGACATGAGGGACCAGTGAGACAGGAAAGGGGTTGTGTTGGGAGTCCACCTCTTCCCACCTGGATCCAAACCCAGGTCCACCCTGTAGAACCTACACGCCAGTGAGTTAGGGCTGAGCCTGTGCTAAAGCCAGTGCATGGAAAGTCAATTTGTTTACTCTTGTCACTGCTAAATGGGGCCATTTGAAAGCTTTACCTAGTTCAGTTTTGAGTAGATCTATGTAACGAAGAAGTTAGTTTTAGTCTTTCGTTTTTGACCGCACCATATAGCTTGCAGGATCTTAGTTCCCTGATCTGGGGACTGGACCTGAGCCCTCTGTGGTGAAAGTGAGGAGTCCTAACCACTAAACATATTTCAGGCTAAGTTCTGACTTCTATTACCTTTTGTTCACTGTGTGGTGGTTTGATTTGGTTTCTTTAACAAAGAACAACTGCAAACACAGTTTTCTTCAAATGCAAATACGTCTTGATGCTTTGATCTAAACTCTGGGGTTAATCCCGGAATCGTTGAGCTGGATCCTTATTGCCTGTCTTTCTTCCATATTGGCGACAGAGAAGAGTTCTATACCAACAAGATTTTAGGAGGAAGAACACATAGATGCGTGCATGCTAAGTTGCTGCAGTCATGCCGACTCTCTGTGACCCCATGGTCTGTAGCCCACCAGGCCCCTCTGTCTGTGGAAGACTCCAGGCAAGAATATTGGAGTGGGTTGCCGTTCTCTTCTCCAGGGGATCTTCTGACCCAGGGATTGAACGGGTGTCTCTGCACTGCAGGCCGATTCTTTACCATCTGATCCACCTGGAAGCCCACACCCTCAGGCTTGGGTTAAATCTTATGTGCATGTGAAATGGCGGTCAGAAGACCTGGCTTCATTCCCTGCTTTGTCTCCTAGCATCTTCACCTTCTTAATTTCCTCTTCCTCTCTCTTTGCTCAAAAAAGAATAAGGAGGTAAAAAGGTCGTTGGCCTCTTGCCTAGTTCGGGCTCATCGAGCACATTAAAGCCTTTAGGATGAGACCCTGGTGCTCCGGCCGCTGGGGGAGCGTTGAGTCAGGGGCAGGTGTGTGAAAGGGAGGTGAGTAGGAGAGCCCACGGTGCCTTAGTCCCTGGAGGAGCAGCCCAGCGCCTCCCTGAAAGCCGCAAGGACCTGAGTGCAGACATGTCCGAAATGCTTGGCTCAATCCTGAGACTATGGAAAGAGCTGAAAATAGACCACGTGTGGATATCAACAGTGTAAAAACTGTGCTGCTCCTGGTCTCAGAGCCCACCGCCACGCCCCGCTGTGTGTGCCGTGTTTGGTCTGAAGGGCCAGGGTTTCCCGAAATCTCGGTAGGGGCACGCAGACCCTGACTCCCCCCTTCTCTTCCCTTTGGCCTCCGTGGCTCTCCCTGGACCAGGTCCGCCACGTGCCTGCCTTGCTCCCTGAGAGAGTTTCCATCTGTAGGGATGTTCTCCTACAGTCTGATCTGCCCTGGACTGTAATTTCAGAAGTCTAAGCAGCATTGCTTGAACAGACTTACAGAACTTTAGCATCCCAGAGTCTGCAGGGTCATTTGTCAGCTTTTCTCACACTGGCCATATACCCCCCACCTCCACGACTCTTGAGAGTGAATTCCAAGACAGGAATGAGGTTTGGGGGTGACTGCTGCCCGAGAATCAAACTGAACACACAGCCGTGACACCAGCAACACATGACTTTAAGTTATTTATGGGGATAAAATACCGCTCGTGGCTTTTATCCAATGCCACGGAAATGACATGATTCAGGTCACAGAAATGAGGCCAGGATAACACTTGAGCACAAGAAGACAATCAAGGAGGAATCGTCTTTTTTTTCAACCAACAAAAAGCAAGAACTCCCCCTAATTTCAACCGAAGTTTTTTTTTTTACTTAATATACAAGAATTTGACAAAGTACTACAGTATAATCATCTAATAATATCCATTTTACCCCATAAAATTATTATATCCAGTCTTAAAATGCTAAATATGTCACTATTATAAGAGAGTAACATAAAACTCAGTTTATAATATTAGAACTCGTAACGCTACACAATGCTATCAATCACATTCCCTGGTAATATTGCACTTTCCCCATTTTTCTTTAATTTTGCATTTTGAGTGTAACAAATTGAGATGAAAGCAGCAGGCTCTTGTTCGTCATCTCTTGGCAGTGAGTGGCAGAGAAGTTACAAGTAGGTGATGACAAAACAAATCACGCAAATCCCTTATATTTAATAATGTTTCAAATGGATTCCTGAGATTTAAGATCCTGCATAGTCATCAGCGCTGGATCTGTGTGGAGGGTCCGGTAATTGCAGGACCACTTTTGAATAAATGCAGCCCGTTAGAGAAAGGCTTGAATTAAATTGTGTAGCTTGGAAGAAATTGAGATATTCCTCTTGGAAGGTTTCAGTTTCCTCTCTGTGTTTTTTTATGAACTCTCTGAATATTTTACTTTAAAGACAGAGTAGACTGTCAAACATGGAGTTATTTTTTAAATAAGCAGGTTAATACAGCTTAACACAAGTGACTACTTCTCTGTATTTTCCCCTGGAACATTTAAATGGCAAAAATATTTTCCTGTGAGTGTTTGAAAATGTCCTGGTGTGTTCACTCGTTTTTTTTTTTTTTTTTTTTTTTTTAAAGCATCAGAGCTGTAAATCTTAAACTTTACTAATAAATAACGGAATGTCTTTTTTTTTAATGTAGTTTTTAATTGGAGGAAAATTGCTTTGCAGTGCTATGTTGGTTTCTGCCATTCAACAGTACGAATCAGCCACAGTTACACATATATCACCTCCTTCTTGAGCCTCCCCCCCCTCCTCTGCCATCCCACCCTCTAGGTCATCACAGCGCCAGGCTGGGCTCCCTGTGTTATATACCAACTTCTCACCAGCCACAGGGTGATGTCTTTTAAAACTTTTAAGATTGGTTACAAATTCAAGACTTTTAAATAATTACATTTGCAAACTATTTGGTTGGGCTTCCTCTTTGTCATTATACACACATCAATTACTTCGTGATGAGTGATGTGGCTGAATCTAGGTCACCTCGTCAAAATTTTCCACCCAAGTTGTAAACCCAGCTGTATCAACCCCTGCAAGCTGTACTCCAAGCAGCACTTAGCCTGTCAAGAAAGAGGCCGCTCCATGGAGGGTTGGGTAAAGTTATTGTATGTGCAATAGAATTTGGCCCGATTAGTCACGTGGTGAAACAAGCTTGAGCTCTCCGAAGAAAGAAAGGCCTCTGTGTGTGCTGTAATTTTTACGTTGAATGTTCTCCTCTGCACACATTTTGAACGTATCCATTTAACCTTCAATGTGCCTTTGAAGTTTTCATTAGAAGTTTGCAGTTCTCTGAGAAATTTTATGGCCAAGAAATACAAACGCTAGCTACCGTGCTATAAGAGGAGCCCATGGTTTCTTTTTCATTATAGCAAGAGTCTCTGCTTTGGCCGAGGAGAAGCCTCTTGCACCCACGGCAAACTTAGAGTTGGTTGCTTACTTGGTGACCCTTATAGGGGCGCTTTGCCGTCACACTCACATCAGCACCCACGGCCAGGACAGAGCCCTCGGCTGTGGTGCAGAGAGGGCGGCCCCTCAGGCTGCCAGCCACGAGCCCCAGAGGACACAGACAGGTTTTGCTGTCTCACTGAACACTAGGTACAGGCCGCGCTGTTACAGATGCAGAAACTACCATCAGTCATGTGTTGTTAGTGCTTCTGTGTCTATAAAGGAAATGCTGTAGAAGGGGTTAATTTTCCTTTGGGGATTGGAGAAGCGAGGGCTTCTTGGGGTAGGGGAGCATGGCTCTGGGGGTCTGCAAAACAGTGAGGAAAGGAGGTAAGGAAGCAGGGGTGCCTGCGAGGAATCAGGGATTCAGGTAAAGAGCAGTGTCTGCCAACCTAGCCCCTGACTCACCTCCTGGGCTGGGGACACTGGGGCCGTTGGAAGAGCAGCTGCTCCTGTCTAGTCTCGTTCACTCTCTCTGCAGGTTCATAGAGCAGGTCCTGTGATGCCGCCACATTGATGGGTAAACTGTGGCTTCAGGGCTGGAGCGGGCAGCCTGAGTCCCCAGGGGGTGGAGGGGCCAGGACCCCCCAGGGCTGCCTGACCCCAGAGAGCACTCTGTACTCAGTCGCTCAGTTGTGCCTGACTCTTTGTGACCTCATGGACAGTAGCCCGTCAGGCTTCTCTGCCCATGGGGATTCTATAGGCAAGAATACTGGAGTGGGTTGCCGTTTCCTTCTCCAGGGAGAGGAGTCTAGGATGGAGTCTATTCACTGAGACAATCTGTAAAGTGCAATATCCAAATATAATATTTAGGCCTCTTCTCTGGGGTATTAAGGGCTTCCGGGGTGACTCAGGGATAAAGAATTCACCTGCCACTGCAGGAGACTCGGGTTTGATCCCTGGGTTGGGAAGATCCCCTGGAGAAGAAAAGGCAACCCACTCCAGTATTCTTGCCTGTGAAATCCCATAGAAGCGTCTGGTGGGCTACAGTCCATGGGGTCGCAAAGAGTCGAACACAACTGAGCCCCCAGAAGGAACAGAGGAGCTCTGACGGTGTGACTTCCTCTCTACATCCTGCCCAAGTGTCTGGTCACTGATGACCTCCACTTATAAGAAGCTTGCCTGGCACTAGGCGATCTGCGTGCGGCCCCAGAGGAAAACCAAGCTAACTGGCTGCATCCGGAGTCCACCATCTGCTCCAGGTAACTAGTCCAGTCAACTAGCCCTGGCAGAACCACTGCCTGGACTAGAATTCAATTTGGGTCTAAAAGTGATATTCATGACTCTCATTGTGCATTTTATGGGCTCTGAGCATAAAGCAGAGATATTTCATGAATTCTCACAGGTCTGCTCCACATTTTCACTGCACAAGAGCCCACAGAAGAGGAGTAGACAGCAATCAGGGCACAGACTCTATTTATATGATGGTTTGAGCTTCAGCACCTTGGTGATCTTCCCTACAGGCAGGAGTGTTTTCTAGAGATTGAGGAAGAAGATATATGTCAAGCAACAGGGAGCATTTGGGTAGAAGAGGGTAACTGTTTGTTGTCACTGTGGTTACACTGGCCGAGCAAATATCTGGGCACATGTGGAACCAGAAGGAGGCTGTCCTCGGCTGAATGTCCAGCTCAGTCGCCACATAGAGATAGTCATGTGTATTTGTGCTTAATTTTAAAAATCGGCTGGAGACACCTCTGTGTGGCAGGGTGGTTCCTGTGCAGGCATTTTTGCCCAGGACTCAGGGCCTGGTCTTTGATGGGGAATATTTTGGAGGGGAGACAAAGTGTCGGTCTAGAACTGGAGTCTGTGCCTGTGAGGCTTCCTCCAGCACACGTGACCAAGAGTCACATAGAGCCAGGGCTCCATCAGCCTAACATGTTAAGTGTTGTGTGTCGCTTTGTTTTCTTAAGCAAAGCATTTGTATGTGTTTAAGAAACTGTCAGGGACCAGTCAAGCAAATATTCCCGTGGAAGAGAGAAATACACATTTCTAAAGCTCAAGCAAACTTAGCCCTCTCTGCTGTAAGGAGAAAGCATGCAGTGTACCTGCCTTTTAACAGGACCAAGAAGACGACCCACAACAAAGCCAGATGCGGCCAGTCTGTCTCTGAAAGTGAGAAGCATCATCTTTTTATTGCATCTTGTCATTCAGACACCATTTATGACCCCCTTCATGCCTGGGGCAGCGTTCACCTGTTTTGGATCAGATCATTTTCAGGACAAGGGGTTCTTTGAGGTGGTCGTCTCCATGTGTTCTTGTCCATCACAACTGAGATGCAAGGCATGAAATGGATACAGAGACAGGAAATGCATCCTTATAATGACCTCATGGTCAACAACACCAGCTTGGGATCACACCCAAGTGCAAATCTCTTTCTCGCCATCGCCAACCTAGCCACAACCTTAGCCGAGTTAATTTCCCTCTCTGAACCTCAGGGTCCCCAGCTGAGAAGAAAATTCCCAGCCCTGTAGAGGTAATAACAGTGAATCTTAAGTAATACAGTGGGAATAACTTAAGTGACACCAATATTCACATGTAGTGAGGGTGTTGGAGAAGACTCTTGAGAGTCCCTTGAACAGCAAGGAGATCCACCCAGTCCATCCTGAATATTCACTGGAAGGACTGATGCTGAAGCCTGAAACTCCAATGCTTTGTCCACCTGATGCAAAGAACTGACTCTTTGGAAAAGACACTGATGCTGGGAAAGATTGAGGGCAGGAGGAGAAGGGGACGACAGAGGATGAGCTGGTTGGATGGCATCACTGACTCAATGGACATGAGTTTGAGTAAACTCCAGGAGTTGGTGACAGACAAGGAGGCCTGGCGTGCTGCAGTCCTTGGGGTCACAAAGAGTCAGACATGACTGAGTGACTGAACAGAACTAAACTGAAGGGCTTCCCCGGTCGCTCAGTGGTAAAGGATGTGCCTGCCAATGCAGGAAACATAAAGCTACATGGGTTTGATCCCTGGGTTGGGAAGATCCCCTGCAGAAAGAAATGGCAAACCACCTCAGTATTCTTGCCTGGAAAATCCCATGGAAAGAGAAGCCTGGTGGGCTGCAGTCCATGGGGTTGCAAAAAGTCGGATGTGACTGAGCGCGCATGCAAACACATTAATAAATGATCATTTAGCTTTGCAAACCAGTTTCCTGACAAATATGCTGAAGTCAAAATAAAAAAAGCCTGAATGCTTCTTATGCTAAAGTGAAGATTCCTTGCCAAGACAGTCTGTATTATTTCAGCCATACTCGTTTCTCCAACCAAGCTGAAAAAGTAGCATATTTTTCTAGAAGCTTTCTAGAAAGGATTACTTTTTAGAAATATGTTTTTAAAAAGCTAATAAAGCGCAAAGATGATATTCTTTGTTTTCCTAGGTTGAAGTATAATATATTGTCTGCTATCTCAAATTTTTTGAAAAGGTGACTGTATTAGATATAATTTGTTTACAAGGTTCTGGGTGGATGATCAATCAGAAAGTTGAGAAAAGGGTTTGAGAAAAGGGGAATAGGGCTGGAGAATGGGGAATAAGAAGGAAAATCAGATGAATGACTAGAAGCAGGCTGTGAGTGAAGATCTGAAGTCGGCAGGAGGGGAAGGGTGTCTGGAAAGAGGTGACCTGGTGGAGTGGTGCGAACACCCACAAGATGCACTCACTTTTGGTTTTTTTAAGCTGTCCTGGTTCTTACCCCGTACATGCATTGGCACTGCTCATCTTCATCTTTACATGCAGGAGACGAAGTCCCACGTTCATCATCCAGGGCAGAGCGGACAGCTTAAAAACATAAAATTTAAAAATACACCTATTTCTGTATTGAACCAAACATATTTTAAACAGTGCTCAAAAACTTCAAGTGGGAATTAGGATGTGAGAGGAAGCCCTTCTTGGAATGTGAAGTTCCAGTAGGCATCCACATGTGCAAACGTCCCAGGAGAGACAATAATAACATATCTTTGTAAAACCACAGTGCAGCTTGAGGAGCAAATTAAGGGAGATTTGTAAACTGTGTTTCTGCAGAAGTCCAGGAGATTGCTTCGGCTTCACTGGTAGAGGAATTCCAGCAAGAGAGCCGCAGTCTACATCTTGGGTGACTTCTCCCACAGTTTAGGGACATCTTTTCTGGGCTGGATTTTATTTTTGTTTTAAAAAATCACTCAGCAAAGTGACCTGGAGTTGATAGATCTGTTGGGTCGCCGTTTCACTACTAAAGTACGGCAGCCTTCAACAGTCCACGCCCCAGCCACAGCAGCGTGCCCGGCGCAGGCTCAGCTCAGACGTCTCACCTGGGGGAGCTACGCGATTTGGCAATTTTTTTTTGCCATACACTGATCATGCCATGTAAGCAGGAATTGCTCCCTGATTATCAAACAGCCCAGAGTCCTTACTGGCGATCTCTCTTTCCAGATGACAATGCAATAATTCAATGATGTTCTTAAAACTTCCAGTAAATTTCCACCAGTTCAAATCCTATTGAGGCCATTAAATCATGGCTGATTCGGACATAAATATTTCTCTCATACGGTAACATATAAATGGGATCAGATGGTCAAGGTAGTTCGGGTAAGTGGCAACTATTAATTTTATTGAAAGGACCTCCCTCAATTGATGTTGCTGGTTTGAAAGGCTCGCCCATCTCTAAGGGGTTAACTGGCGTCCCATTAATGGAAACACTATCACAAGACAAAGTAATATGGTTTAATGCGCCCTGCTTTGAATTCAGAGTTCACGCAGAGTCTAGACTAAAGGCCAAACAAATTTACAACACTTCATGCATTTCTATGGAGGGAAATTTTTACTGAAGGATATGTAAATATTGCACTAATCAGAGGTTCTGGAATTCCAAATGCCATAAAAGGTTATGACCCGAAGCCCTGTTAATATATGAGTGAAGGCGTCGGCTACATCCTTTTGAATGACAGCTAACACAGGGTGTTTTGCATGAAAAATAACCTCTAATAAATGACCTCTGCTTTTTTCTTTTCAAATCTGTGACAGTAATGAACAGGAAAGGGGGAGCCTCCTGTGAAGGCAGTGTTATTTACACCTAAACACAGGGAAGTCTTGCCTGAGTCTTGGCCTCCGTTCAGGGAGACGGAGGAGCAGAGAACTGATCACAGAGGGCGATTTATTCTCTTTCATTTGGGGGGCTTCCCAAGGAGCTCTGCGGAAGGGGGAAAGAAGTGCAAACGTGTGCCAAGTTGTTCAAATGAGTGTTTCATTTCCTAAAGCGTCTGTTCTCTTGGAGGGTGTGGATGCCGCGTCAGGGTGCTGATAAAACCATTCTGGCTCTGAGAGTTCTGACCTTTACCCTGGCAGACCAGTGTCTCTTGCAGTGGGTGGAGGTGTTTCAGCAGCTGAGGCCCTGGGGCTGCTTTCACAGCGCAGAAATTTCGGTTATTTCCCCAGATTTCAGCTGGATCCCCAAGAGCAATCTATCTCCTTAAATGATGACGAGCTCTTCCTCTTTCCCATGGGACAGTGTTTTCCCATATTTTATCTTTTAAATCTGGCAAAGGATCCATTCTATTCGGTTCTTTTTTTTTTTGGCTGAAAGCACTTGACCAGAGCTCTGACTGGTCTCCGCAGACCTGAAGCCGTGTCAGGCCGGTGGCCGTGGTTAGTTCAGAGGT